CACACATGTCATATACCATTATATTTGAGACTATTTTCATAAACACATAAACTTCATAAATACATAAAGTTTTGGTTGTACAACTGTGCAAGGGCTACATTGGGTAATTTTCTCTTATTATTATTGTTACCATTATTGTATGTTGTTAGAGAAAGTTCCCAAAATAGGACTATAACATTTTTAAAATTCCAAAATAGGACTGTCATGTTTTTTATTCCCAAAATATGAGTAATTACTGCCATGTTTAGAAAATACTGCCATGTTTGAAGTCTGTTACTGCCAAAACATGACAGTAATTAGTCCTATTTTGGGAATAAAAAACATGACAATCATATTTTGGAATTTTCAAACTGTTGTAGTCCTATTTCGGGTAATACTCTTATCATTATTATTATTGTGAATTAGTAATTATTTATGGAATACTATATATATAAATGGAGGGCAGATAGAAACATGGTTGAAGTTGAAGGTGCAACATGCGCTAAACCAAGCAGGGACTTCAAAGGGTATTGCGGGTTTGATAGAGACTGTGTGAAGGCTTGCAGTAGAGAGCAGTGGCCCGGTGGCAAGTGCGTCCCTAAAGGCATTCTCTCTTTCGCATGCGAATGTCGCAGGCCTTGTTGATCCAATCCAACTCCGCCCATCTTAATTATTTATATACATACATATGCCTAGCTGCTTGTTTGTAATAATATTAATTAATTAATATAAATAAATCAATATCAATAAGACAATAATTATTAGGCTGGCTTCCATGTTTAGCCTATGATCCATAATATTATACTCCTCAAGTATATTACTGAAGACCTCATACACTGTTGGTAGTATGAAGCTTTAGTATGTATTGCCTACGTACTAGTTGTGATGAATGATTGAAAATAATAAAAGAGTTTGAATTATACGATAGTATACAGCTCTCGCCTATATACTTCCTCTATTCTTTTTTAATTGTAACAGTCCACTTTTCACGTTTGACAATGACAAAGTTTGACCATTAATATCTTTCATTCCTTATTTGCAAAACATTAAAAAATTCATATTTTGAAAATTTAAAAGGCGAGGAATTTAAATATAGTTTTTTTTAAAAAATAATTTATAATACATTAATAAATTATACAGTCAAAATAGAATATGTGAATAATTCAAAAAGTCTAATGTTGCAATTAAAATAGAACGGGGTAGTATAAAAATACTCATGATATATTGTGTTTTTTTGAATAAAATTAATTTTAAAGTTAAATCCTCCTTATTAATAATTTTTTTTACTCAACCAATATAATGCATGCATATGTGAGGGCGTCGTAGTCTCAGTTTCTTGGTCCGTACGTGGTTAGACGACTAATAAAATACTTCCTGTCAGATGCATTTAAATTATTTAATTAATCATTTAAAATAAGAGAACTACTGAATTATTTTAAGTGGAGTAAGTTTTCGTATATTGATGATCGTAAACTGCTTGTGCATGAGAGATTTATACAACTTGGAGAGTCCTGATTCACGGGCGGATCGGATCTAGGATTTTTCGTTATTGGGGCACTAGCTATTAGGGTTGGGTAAGAATCATGGCCCGTTATCCCATTCACGGGCGGATCGGATCTGTGAATGTATTAATGTTTATAAATTATATGCAAATATAATACTTAAAATCATTGTCCAAAGTTAATCATCATTGACCAAAAAAGTCAATATGCCAAACCTTTTTGGGACGGAGGTAGTATATGCGTATGTAATAAACATTAATACATTCACAAAATACAGGGGGACAACCATTTATGCTAATTGTATGGTTATTAGTTGGCACAATACCGAAATAGACTTTTTGTAACACTTAACATGAAGTAATGCGAATTGAAATATTTTTGAAAAAATAAAGAAATGTTATGATTAAAATAAAACATCACATATATTGTTTTTATAAAAGAAATCAAAAACAAAACTACTCGTACAAATTATTATAAAACTATGTGTAAACAACATTTAAAGCACTCTTGATTGGCTTTGCTTCATCATCACATATAATAAATTTTCAACTTGGAATGAGACATTACTCTTAAGACCACGCCGTAAAACTATTTAGAGGTGAAAATCAAACAATGTAAGAGAGCAACAACTCTCTCTCAAAAATGTCCTAGACGTACTCTTGCTGATGGTTGTCACATAACTAAACATCAAATGAAGCTATTTATGCTGGAAAGTGAACGATATAAATCTCGACGATATAAATAAAAATGGTTGACAACTTAATGACAATATAGTAGAACTGGTTGAACTGAAATGACGTGCTGCTACTCTACTTATCATCTTTCAAGCATTAGAGCGAAATATGAAGTCTCATTGGAATCAACCAGTCCATGGGATGAGGAGTGATAACATTTACAAATTAAAATGTTCTAGACCTATGTATGATAATCGATAATAAATCGAGTACCAAGATCGGTTTTGCTGATATATGATATTTCCATCAAAAGCAAACTAAAATATCAATATGTCCATCAAAACAAAACTAAAATATTGATATGTGTTGGAGTATATCACGTAGGGGGTAATAATCAAGTACTTGGATTGCTTAAGGATCGTGTAAGTTCACTTTCCAAATTGATATTTTTCCCCTATGCCTGGGCTACAAGAAATTCAATCTAGGATAATCCTTAAGGACACTCTAGAACTTAGGCACAAGAACTAGAGTCAAACTAGTCGAGTATATGGATTGTTATCTTTAATTTGAATGCCAAAAGTGATCAAGATATGTTGTATATCTCTCCTCTAGCTTCTCTGTACGAAATATGGTGATATATATACATATTACACGTCCCAGGCAGTTGCAACACGTTTTGGAATAACTGTGACAATTTTTGGAAAAACTGCACGAAACTGCCTAACCGCTCTAGACCTCGGTCTAGAACCACAGAGTTGGTCTACTGAGTGTTCTACCTCGAGTTCCACTACTGTAGACACTTTGGAATAGAACTCGTTCTTATATACAAGTGTGCACTCCACACCTCCTAGCTTGTATTAGAACACGGTTCTAATCCTCATTGGCACTCATGTCATTTCCAATTACACAAAACGGTCGGTGACACTAAAATCACCAACAATATGTCCATCAAAACCAAATCAAACCACAATGACCACCATATCCAGTATATAATATAATGCCTCAAAGTAATATAATCATATACATAAGGCTGTATATTTAGATTAATGAATTCAAAGAAAACATAAACCTGAACTTTAGAACCTAAACGATGAATAGAACACATCAAACAGATATTTAACACACACAAAAAGTTAACATAACATACCTTAGTAAAATTTAACGATTAAGACAATTCAAAACTTTGGATAGAAAATCAAACTTTGAAAATCAAATCTTGAGCACCACTAATCATTCCGAGGTTTCATTGCATAGCAACCCAATTCAGGGTTATTAAAACCTCAAGACAATTTGAAGTAAACTTCAAGTTCATGGTACTTGTTAAACCTCTTTAAATAAAGGGTTTGTAGAGGTTACCTATATGATCTACTCAACTCTTTTAGCTTGTGAAGCTAAGGTTTGTTTTAGATTAAAATACCATAAATGAGGCATCTTCTTCTAACCTACCCTAAATATACTTTAATATAATCCTATTTCGACAACAAAAAGAAAAATATATGGACATATTTATGATACAAAGTCAAGAATGTTTCAACAATCTTATTTAAACTAACTTTCAGTATAATTTAACAACTATAGAACCCGAATATAAAACAAAACAACAAATTTCACAACAACAAATATCACATTGACTGATTGGCATTGTTGGCTAATGTTAGCTTTTATGGGAATTGTTCATATATGGTTACGAATGTGTATATGACACCATTAGATTTATCAAATACTCCGTAGAGAAACTACAGTTCTTGAAATCATTAATGATTTTAAAGTGAACAAAAATCCTTCTATTAGAAAATTATAGAATCCAAATTTGATGTAAGACATCCATTTGTCAGTTCTCGAAAACCGTAAAATGCAATCGGGAATGAAAATAATAGTTGGCGATTGAAATCGGGAAAAGGGTGAAAACAGTTGCGATGAAATTTACTCTATAATCATGATGAAACTGATAGAGATGGTTCCCATGAGCGAGAGAGGCGAGGAGTTACTGAATTTTACCAACGAGGGAGATTTTTGTGAAAGGAAAACCCGCTTATATTAATATCATCAGGATTCGGATCATTACCAATACGGATAGCTCAATTGATTGAGTGCTGGGAAATTTGGATCAAAATAAGGGATTATGAAGCACTTTTCAGATGAAATTCATAATTTCATCACCCAGACTAATGAGAATTATTTTTTTAAGGAGAGAATTAATATTTTTTTATTATATTAACTTTTACACTTAAGTCATTAATCTGCAATTTAGTCTTTGTAGTTGTGCACTTCCATGTACTTCTAGATAAATATGAAAATAAAAACATGCGGGTGTAAACAAAAAACAATCATGTTTATTTCAAATATAAATAAAAGTGTACTATTATATTATACTCTGTAAAATTCTACGTTGGCACTTTCTTACAAAGTGATTAGCATTTTTATCGTGTATATTTTAAATATATGCAAAAGTGCATTGTTATATCACACCATTGGAACATTGTATTACGATAGCCTCGTTCTATTCCTATCTTTACACCCATATTTTGGGTGTTACTGTCCATTTTTTGTAATTAACTGGTGTTTATTGTCATTTTCATTATAAAAAAATTGTTATTCTTCACTCTCGGTGGCATTCATATTTAGTTTAATAATTTTCTATACAGTGTGACATTTTTGGACCAGTTGTGGTGAGTCGTAATTGTTACAGGCCGAATTTGCTCTGAATAATACATTAGGTTTGGGTCGGATCATTTGAGAGTTGTTTTAGAAATAAGTATTATTAAGTGCAGCTCGAAAAGAAAAGAAAAAAAGAGAGCAAGCAGCCCAAGGGAGAAAAATACTGCAGCAGAATATTCATTGCAATCATTCGCAAGCAGCCCAAAAAGAAAATATTCAGCCCAAAAAGAAAATAGATTCCTTTTTTATTTTCTCTGTTCATTAACCGGCAGCCGCCAGTTCGTCCTTCCTCTGTGAATCAAGAAGACCGAGGAACTTCTTTTCCTCGGAGAAGTAGCCGCAGCAAGAACGAAACCAAGGGGTTTCTAAACTTCACTTTTCCTCAATTTCTTCCACTCTAGTTTAGATTCCAGCGAGTGTTGTAAGTTTAATCATCTTTTACATTACTGATTTTTTATTTTGGATTGAATTTCGTTTTTGTTTGTCTCCAACTAATAGTTTCAGATTTTTCCATTAAATACTCATTCTTTAGTTTTTCTTCTAGCCCCTTATCATTTACTTGTTACTGTTAGTAAAAAAATATACTTTCAGTGGATTTATTTTTCAATCTGAACCAGTGCCTGATTTCTGATTTCGCGAGCCGCCAGGCCGCCACTGCCCCACCACGATCCGCCGGCCGCCTCCCTCAGGCTCCCTGAGTCTTGTCACTCGGTCAGTCTACTGAATCACTGATTTTCAGTTTTTACTATTCATTTAGTTGGTAATTCTTGTGAATTTTTGAATTGTTGAATTGTCTGTTGAATTGTTGAATTATTGTATTTTGTTTATTTTCTGATTTCCTGATTTCATGTTTGTTGTTAAATATGGTTTTTGCTTTAGTAATTTGGTTAGATACAAAGAAATGTATGGATTCTGGGAAAGTAGGGATCAAGTTTGATGCTTTATGGTTTTTGCTTCTCTTTTTTTTTGAAACCGTCGTTTTCTCATCGAATAATTTTATACTACGTACTAGCGGTGTACGCACTTCGTGCGACGTGTGCCCAATACAAAAAAATTAGTGACTAAAATTGATCACGTGGACTGATTTATATGATTATGTAAAATGTATTCTATATTGAATGCGTTGATATAAAAAGAAGTATGGTATTTGGTTCAAGGTTAATATGGGAGTTCTGAATTAGTAGGAGAAATAATAATTGTCTCAAGCACGTAAAAATGCAAATTTGGAATGAATTAACCAAACCATTTTTTTAAATGTGTATATGTATACATTTATTGCATGAAGTTTAGTAGTTTGTGAAGTTTGATTAAGGGATAACTCAAATTGTGATTTTTTCATATTTTTATTGTCCTACAATACTTTGTGTAGGCCCGGTACTGGACCGGGTACCGTGCCTGAAATCCTTAAGCCTGAAGCCTGCCCAGTCCCATCCCGAAACCTGGCCCGGTTCGTCCCAGTCCATCCCTAATTCCCTATGTCTAAGTAACATATAAGTATTAGATATTGTTGTATAAACGTAGTATACTTATAGGGTGAGGTTTTGTATTTGACTTGTAATAAAATGTGAATATGTGGAATGATAGGTAATTACGGGATTCCCAAGAAATGAATGATTTTGATTTGATATCTTATGGGATGTCCCCAATATGGATTCTGAAGATTTTAACAGGATTTAGAATTTTGCCAGAATTTAGGTGTCCGTGATATGGATTTCTATTATTACTTATTTGGATAGATTTTAAATGATTTTAATGGAATTGTATATGCAAAACAAATCTATAGGATATCTTGTCATAACCCATCAGGTTTGTAAGGATTTCAAATCAAGAAACAAATATAAAGGATAGTTATATGAACACTATCATAGTGCCGCCGGAAGGGTCATCATAATAGAGAGCTTTATAAACATGACATTAGCTTCCATGAAGGACAATAAAGAGAATTCAACAGTCACTGAACGTGAATACCCGCCATAGAACGTTGTTGTGGACTGCTTAACATGATCTGGTCTTCTGTTCGTTTCTTTTCAGCCACCGGAGCTAGAGATCCCTGCAAGTTGATGCTCTCTCCGTGAAATCGAAGCTCAACTTTGAAGGTTTTAGATGAGATGAACCGCAGAGGTAACCTGCTATGCCAAAAAATACAACTCTTCAAGTGCTAACCATTAAAATTCCAATGAATTCTACGTAGAATCTGTAAAATTCCCATAAAATCTGTAACATTCCATTAAATTCCATTAAACCCTAAATCTATAACTCAATTAAAATCCAGATTGAACTTCATTAAGAAAATATTGTGAAAAGCAACGTGTAGAAACTTTTACATTTTACACGTACAAGGTGTAGTATGAAATGAAAATTGTTGGTAGAGTAATATACTTTAACTAATGTATGGCTTGTTTGTGAAATTGTTCAACCACCTCTTGCATCTAAAGACATTTTCTAAATACAACAACAACTATCAAACAAAAAACAAAGTTTTTGATGTTTTTCTGAAAACCTATGTTTCAAGGTTAGGCTATTTGAGTATTTCCTTACAATAATACTGATGTTTGCATAGAACTTTTGAAAAGAATGAATACTACTCCAACAAATTTTGTAACTGTAACTCAAAATAAACAAATCCAAATATTTAGGTAAACAATAACAGTACTAAAAATTTAGTCATCACCTTTTAATACAAATAACCTAAGTAGCACTGGTACGGAAACGGAAACGGAAACGGGGACGGAAACGGGAACGGGGAAACGCTAAACTCAAAATATCAGGAAACGGGTACGGCAAGGAAACGTCAAACTAAAAATTAATGTTTTTACTAATACAAGTAATGTATATGTCTAACAATTAGAAAATAATTAAACAACACATAGAAACAATTGAAATTGAAGCAGCGGATCCTCTCACCCAAAAACCCCTTGCCTTCTGACCTTCTCTTCTGACCCGTCCAACGATCCAGGGAGTCCATGGCCTCCAGGATCCAGGCGATGACGATTGTCTGAACTCTTCGCAGAATCGTTCGCAGTCCAAATATCCCTTACGCAAGCGAAGCAAGCTTCGTTCGCACTTCGCAGAATCAGAAGCGTAGGTATTTTTTACCAAGAAGACATTAAACCGATCGATTGCCAAACCTTTTTTTTAAATTTCAGAAGAAACGCGTTGGCCCATACGGAACGCCGTTTCCTAAACGTTTCCCCAACCCGGCCCAACAACCCAATACCTCAGAAACGTTTCCAGTCGTTTCCACCGCGTTTCCCGGCGTTTCCCGGCGTTTCGCGTTTCCGAAACGTTTCCGGGACGGAAACCTCCCCTCAGTTCACGTTTCCGTGCTTCCTAGGGAAATAACAATAGTACTAAAAATTGTCTGTGTTGCTAAATATTAATAGGGTCAAACAAACAGGGTGATATGCGGAGATCTATATTTATATAATGATTCAACAAGTTTTAAGAAAAAAAATTAAATGAAAAATAGAAATTCTACATTTCAATAATAGGCCATTTTAAAAGAAATAATTTTTTGGAAGAAACTTTTGAAAAAAATGAAATGTAAAACCAAAAATGGAATATTAACGCATTGAAATGTGTACCAGTGGAATTATGGACTGGAGGCCAAGAATAAGAACCAGAACCGGATTGAAAAAACGCAAGTAGTTGTTACCGTAGTGGTCATATTCAGGGCCGGCCCTGGGCCTGTCTGCCCAGCCCAATCGCACAGGTCCCGGTATTTTGGAGGGTCCAAAAAAATTTTTTAGTAATACCCCAGCCCAAAACTTTTGTTTTTAGCCCAAATCATTTCCCCAGCCTCAAAATCGGCCCTGATCCCGTCTTCCCCTGCTCTCTTCCGACTCTTCCCGACTTCCCGTCTTCCTGTCTTCGCGTCTTCACGACAAAGGCCAAAGGGACACCGCCGGTCCGCCACGGCGCCGCGCCACTCGGCCCACTCCGCCAGACCGCCGTCCACAACCGCACGCCGCTGCCAAAGGGACACCGCTCGGCTGCTCTCCAGTCTCCACGAGGACCACGACTTGACTTCAACAGTTCAACCGACGACTCCGAGTCTCCCACGACACTCTGACTTCAGCCGACCGCCTCCGCCGCCCTCCGGCCTCCCTCAGACGCCGTCCTTCCGGTCAGTTACTAATTTGCTAATTCTTTTATTCATTTAGTTGCTAATTTGCTAATTCTTGTGAACTTTCAATTTATTGAATATTTGAATTGATGAATTGTTTGTTGAAATCTTGTAATTTGTTTATTTTCAGATTTAATGTTTGTTGAATTGTTGTGTTGTTGTTATTTGTTGATTTTTATAGGAGAATTTCAATAATTGTTGATTTTTATAGGAGAATTTCAATAATTGGTAACAATTTGCTTGCGTTTAAACTTGAAAAAAGGCCCAAATTTTATTGTTGCACAAGTACTCCCTAGAAGTTTTATACTTTAGTTAGTCATTGATCTTTATTAAGCAAATATCGTGAGAAGGAATGGATTGAAACACAATTTTTCTGTCTTAGGAAGGGTTAGACAATATTCAGTACATGAAACACATTAACAATTACAAACATTAGGAAAATTAATAGGTAAAATAAATTCTGTTAAGTTTGAAGCGTTACTTAAAATTGCCAGATGATATTTTAAGTTTGAAACGTTAGAGGAGATGCAACATCCTTAAAGTCAATCATATATTTTCCATGACACTAAACTGAGTTTACATTTTCTAGATTTGTATGGTTGTTTCCATTTTCTAGATCTCAATAGCGATCAAACTATACTATAAATAGTTATAACTACCGGTCTAAAGATCGTTCATGAAATTGGTTTTGAATAATGAATAAGGGTTCCATAGTACTCGTCTGAAGTGTAAATTTTGAAGTTATTGAAAGTAATGTGATGTAAATATTTATCCTTTTCGCTGCCAACAATTGGTGTGGTGAACTTAAATTTAATAAAATTACAGTTAGGTGGCGTGTATGAGAAGTACATAGCCAGAAGTTACGTAATAGGCATTTTAGCGAACACTATGTAGGCATTACTTGAGGACATTGATTGTGGGCATGTTTGAAATGATTTGAACCTATCGTAATATGTATATATGTGATCAAACATTGAAATTCCAGATTGGACTGCTATGGTCGTGCACTCTGTATAAAAAAACAACCAATTTCTATGCAATTGATCACATATTCGTACATGCACCCAGTAAGTTGGTTTTTTTGTAGTTAGTTGGGATTGGTGATTCTGAAATACAAAACAAGCGCATTTCTTTTCTTAAACCGCACGGCAATTGTCTTTTTACAAGTTGCCAGTGTTTTTGAATAATAAATCTAAGCATATAATTAAATGTGGTGATGGTTGAGAATATAAAGCCACGATTAGAAAAAATTAACATTTATAAGACAAAATGAAGTTGTTTAAATGTAGTAAATGCAGACCATGAGCAGATGAGTTTTAAAGTGGAAGTTATTGGAAATACCTTGTCCGACTTGCTTGTCGATCGTAGAGACAAGGATTAAATGAGTAGGAAGAGACAGGACTCTGCGTATGGATGGATATATTGTCACCATGCATGGCGGATATTGGAGGACCTGGAACATTGTGGTCTGTGGCTGTTAGAAACCGTAGGAGTAGAGAGTATGAGCCGGCGTTTGGGATTACGAGGCTTGTAAACAGATGAAACGGATGCGTGAAATTGAAATCTTTCCGTTTGAGAAAACGACACAAATGGATGGAAAAAGGACCAAGCTAAAGTTGGTTGGCTTTTATTATATAAGCCGAGATATTTTTGCATTTTCACATAAATTGATGAAGGATTTCAAGTCCGGGTTTATGTTGATCCGTTTCTATATATATATATATATATATATATATATATATATATATATATATATATATATATATATATATATATATATTGTCCGAGTTTTTCTAAAGGTTGTGTCTTCACACAGTCGAGATCATAAAGTGCAATCTGTAATTGATTCATATGAGTATTTTTCTGGTTTGGTATTTTTTGAATTTATTGATCATATATTCATATAGTGTATTCTTGGAGATAACATAAACTGGAATGGCCCTTTCAGGGGTTATAGGCTTATAGCAGAGGTGTTTCTGTGTGTGCGCTCTGCAGAATCATATACTACATGCAAACTAACCATTTAAAGGATTTATAGTTTTAAATATTTAAAAGTTTAGGCTTTATGAACATTGTGTTCTGCACAATAATTAACATAACGTGTAAAAGAATTTACAAATTCTTGTGGTTCTATGATCATTCCAATTTACAGTATTACAAAATAACAATTCACATCTAACCACAATAATAAAATTGTAGTTGGTTCTTTAAGGCTTCAACATACCATGCAGAGAGATTCTACGCAATAGGTTTAACGTTAATGTTTCCACATTCCATTGCAGGCTGCATGGTTTTCATTTCAACTTCTTCTTGACATTCTTCCTTGACAAAAAAATGGTGTTGCATAAGGGATTAGATAACAACAATGGATTTATTGGTTATGAAGCTCCCCCAATACCGTGATCCACCAAATCAACCAGGGTTAGTATATAATTTCCTTTTATGAGCTAGAATTTACTAACTCAAATATAATTAAATTATTTTGTTTCAGACTTGCCGGCCGCCTCCCTCATTACGTTTATTACTAACTTGTATGTTAAGACAATTTGCTTGTGTTGCAACTTGAAAAAAGGCCCAAATTTTATTGTTGCATAGGGTCTCCGTTTTCTCGGGACCGGCCCTGCTAAAATTGGATTAACTATGCTAATAGTTTAGTTTTTCCCCTGATTATTTATTGCATTATATCCTAAACTATATGTTGATCAAATATTTAGTGAAATATATGAATCTAGATAGGGTTAATGGCTTTTCACATATATAATATAACACTTTATTTTAGGAGAGTGATTAGGAGAGTCAATCTCATGTATCAACTCCTTGGATGAGGATGAAGAAATTTAGCAGAGAGCTATTCCCATTTTGCAAGGTTTATGTCTGTGGTTTTCTAGTAAAGCCCTCGCCTTTTCAAATCGGAGGATCTAATAAACATGCATCAGGTAATCAACGACATAAGAGCAGTCTAGTAGAAATCTCAGAGACTACTCCTGCCACACTGTATAAGAAATCATTTTGTGAATGGCTAGCTGGAATTATTGATGGCAGTGGAAGTCTTCAAGTGCATAAGAAAGGAAAAACTTCTCTTGAAATTACTATGGGACTTGAAGATGTAGCACTACTACGATATGTCCAACACATGCTTGGTGGAAGTATTAAAATGCGGTCCGGTGCCAAATCTTATCGCTATAGATTAATTCATCACCTTGGTATGGTTAAACTAATGAATTGTATCAATGGCCATATTCGTAAATCTGCACGACTAACACAGCTGCATCGTGTCTGTCAAGAGCATGAGATTCCTGTAATTGTGCCCATCACATTAGATGCTCAATCAAATTGGTTTGGAGGATTCTTTGATACTAATGGTAGCATTGAAATCATTATGAAGAATGAGTTGCCCCAGCTCAGTATCCGAGTAACCAGTAAACTGCTACAAGATGTGGAGCCTTACAAGGCCATGTTTGGTGGAGATGTGTACTTTGATAGTGGTCGAAATGGTTTCTATGAATGGTCTGTGCAGAGTCCTGAAGATGTTTTATCATTTTTTGGTTACTTTAAAACAAGTACTTTGAGAAGTCAGAAATCAAGACGATTCTTTCTAACAGATGAATATTATCATCTCTATGGTCTCAAAGCATTTGAACCTTCCAGTATGAACCATAAGGCATGGTTAGCTTTCCTAAAGAAATGGAACATCTTGGTAGACTAGCTCATCTTTGTTTCTATTAATCATTTATTCTATTGCTCTGGAGCCATTTTTCTGGCAGCGAGGTAGAGTTACTGGGAAAATAGATTGGAGAATGTGATTACTAATATAAGCTTCTCTAATAATCAATCTGCTCTTTCTTTAAAGTGGCTTTGGTGAGTATAAAGGCTCAGATTGACATTGTGACTGTGCAGTGTTCCAGGTTTTGATAATGAGATTGTTCTTTACACTGAAGAGTTTATTGGACTTTTGAGGAATGATTCTGTATATGATTTCTGTGATGCTATTTCACGGATACATGCAAGCAGTGTCAAGTACATATGCAGGTTATAATCTGGGAATATGTGACATCTGAATTGAGAGCATTAAACCTTACTGTGTTTTTGTTGGCAATATCCTGAAGTCTGCTCTCAATTGATCTACTCCTCAAGCATCAGGAATGTCCTGTTTGCTTGAAAACGGTAATATTGTCTTCGCTTTAGCCTGTTTTAAAATGTTATACATAATCAAGCTCTTTATTTTTTATGTTTAAAAGTGGTCAGTACTGAAACAAATAATTGTGTCAAGGAACCTTATGTAGTTATGATGATTTACCCAAGTCCTTTTATTGGAGTAATTATTTGATCTTTTTAGCTTCATCTTTTTCTCTTCATCCTAAATAGCTTCCATAAGATGGCAACGTAATAAATTGTGCGGTTATACACCTTGGTTGATTTTCCTAGGGAGCTTGTGGTGTTTGATTTGCAGTATTAGGCGCGCATTATAAGAGGGCAGGCCAAACACTATTTCTGCAATTGAAGGCTGTTTTGCTTATCTGCTGTGTATGATAACTGTAAGTTTTGGGAACTTTGGGTCAAAAACATTGGAATATGCCTGAAAGAGTTGCTTTTGTTATCGTTCTTGGGTTGAGGGATATGTCTGGGTCGTACATTTATCAGCTCATATCTTATGTGTTGGGCAGAGTTCCACATTGTCGGGGCAATGTCCCTATATATAAATAAATAAATGTGTGCATATATATATTAAAATTAATTTGGACATTTCGTACTTAATATTAGTTGGTTCCATCTTAATAAGTAATTACGAGTTCCCTAATTTAGTTGAAGCAATAAAAGTAAAAAACACGAAGCGATCATACTATTTCCTTGTAGGCGATAACATGAAATTATTAAACACCGCATAATTTTTGAACTTTTTTTTACATCATACTCCGTATAATTTCAAAAGTTTCATGTCATGTATGAAATTAATTAGTAATCGAAATTTGAAAATAAGAATGAAAAAAGCACTGAATCTAAAATGCATTCATTTGGAAAATCAAAGTCTTGAAATGGATATCCAAACGATAGAACCTAGTAAAAAGTCTTTCAATAATGTGATAAAGTAAGATTCAAGTTCAAAAGTAGGGTTGGATTCGGTTCGGGCCACCCGGCCCGGTACTGTGCGGGCCCGGGACCGGCCCGGTCGGGCGGTCCGGGACCGGGTATGGGCCCGAACCGGGGGGAAGGGGTGGGGCGGGCTCGGTTCAGCATTTTTGTGACTCGGGCCGGCTGGTTCGGGCCCGGTCTCGTGTCCGGGTCTATTTTAAAAAAAAAAAACTTTTTTTTTGTTTTTTGGCTACTAGCCGTTGAGGCCTTGGGGTGGGGCTGGGGACAACCCAAATGGCTATATAGCCGTTGGGTGGGGTAAAGGGGGGGTCCGGGAGGGTTGGCTGGTAGGGGGGTGGGGGGTAAAAAAACCTATAAATACTCCCACTCTTAAACATTTTTTCATATCTCTTCTCCAATTCTTCCTAAATTCTATTCTTAACTCTCTACTCTCTAATTCTCTTATTCTCCAATATATTATATATCTACTCTCTAATTCTCTTCTCCAAGAAGTTAAGATGGAAAATCAAAATGCCATTATACGGTATAATTTTGATAAGCAGAAGGACCCGAAGACCGGGATGTGGTACGCAATTTGCAAATGGTGCGGAAAAAAAATGTATCATGGAGGCTTCAGGCGGATTCGGGATGGCAATCAAGCATATGAAGTCATGTGAAAAAGCCAAAGGATCGGGAGGTGCGGGAAGTTCCGATTGATTACAATTTTCAAAATGTTTATCTCTTAAAGTTTGTTTTAATTTTCAAATGTAGTTCCTATTTCATTTCAAATAAATGCAATTGAAGTTTGTTTTTAATACTCGTATAAAACTATAAACTATAAAATATAAATTATAAAAAAAAAAATTAACCGGCCCGGCCCGAACCGGACCCGACCCGTGACCCGGGCGGGTGGCCCGGCCCGAACCGGACCCGTCCAACCCTCGGGCCGGTCCCAGGCCCACTTTTCTTGAACCGGAGGCCCGACCGGGCCTAGGCCCGGCCCGAATTCATCCCTATCCAAAAGCGAATCAGATGAGATGAGCTCATGAGTTAATGTGATACATGGAATATGTAGATGTTGACTGTTGAGACATGATTGAAGACCAATGTGATATACGTACTTGATAGAAATACTCACATATTAGGTTGAGTACCTTTATTTTCGTTCAGGACTTTTAGTTTAGGGAAAACTGTCAAATAGGTCCTCGAACTTTCATAAAAAAGTCAATTAAGTCCTTCTATAGGAGATTCTGTCCGGTCGTCGCGATTTGGGGCGGTTTCCGGTGGCATTTTTTGATGAATTTTTTTGAGCATCTTATTCATCAAGTCTAGTTTACTCATACCAAATTTCAGCTAAAACTTTAATCGGGAGCGCATTCAAATTAATTCGAGAACGCAAAAATGCGCAGTTATCTTCAAGAATTAATTTGAATGTGTTCCCGATTGAATTTGTAGCTAAAATTTGGTATGAGTAAACTAGACTTGGTGAATAAGATGCTCAAAAAATTTCATAAAAGAATTTCACCGGGAACTGCCCCAAAGCGCGACGGCCGGACAGAACCTCTTATAGAAGGACTTAATTGACCTTTTTATGAAAGTTTGAGGACCCATTTGACATTTTTCTCTTTAGTTTAATAGCAATACAATGATACTACTCCCTCAGTTCCTAAATAAACTTCCAACTTTCCTTTTTCGTCCGTTCCAATTAAAATTTTCACTTTCCCTATTTAGTAAAGAATTTATGGTTCACAACATTTCTTACACATTTTCCATCATTTGCAAATTGTAATTGATCCAAAGATTCATTATTTGTTGGCTTGAGATTATGATGGAATAAAGCAAAATGACTCACTAAACTGTCTGGCGTCTGCGCTTCTTTGTTATGGAGTAACAGTCAGTCCATGCAATTTTGAACGCGATTTTCACTATGGATCATCCGGAAACAGTCTCTCTGCGCTTTAGTGCAGTGGTAAAACTGCGTACATCTGACCCCCCCTTATCCCCACGGCATCACCGTAGGTGGGAGACTTTGCGGCACTGGGGTAAATGAAAATGATGAACATTTCTTACACATTTCTCTCTCCTCTGCACAACTCTCCACCACACAATACCCACTATCTAAAACTGTGTGCCAAATCTATTGGGAAGTTTTAATAGCAACGGAGGGAGTAGTTTATAACGAGGTATTAGAAAAAAGATATACTATATATATATATATATATATATATATATATATATATATATATATATATATATATATATATATATATATATATATATATATATATATATATATATATATATATATATATATATATATATATAAGTGAAATGCTTAAAAATATCTTATCATCTAACAAATCAAAGTTTAAAGAATACAAAATTACTGAGGAAGGATCACACTGCTAAATCCAACATTCAGACATAGATTTTTGGAAGTGTAAAGATCTTTCTGGTACTGCTAAAAATTGAAAGTGTAAAGATCTTTCAGAACCGGAGGAGTATAATTTTGGTGAAAGGGAAGGAATGACGCCGATGTCGGGAAACATCGAATTTTGGAAGCCAATATGCAGACAAAGCCAACAGAGCATGACTTGGATTTCCCTAAATGCCGGTGTCTAAGCCAATCAACCCTACAATCCCTAGGTCTCTAATGCCACTCATCAACTCCAGTAGTAATAAAAATACATTTCCCAAGGTTTTAATTTAGGTAAGTTGAAGAAATTCCATACAACCATAATCACTTCCAAGCAGTGTTCTAAAACGCGGCCAAAGGCGCCGCATAGGCAGGCCTAGGCGCCAGGCGTGAATGAAACGCCTCGCTTCACTATTAGGCGTGGAAAAGGCGGGCTGATTAATCTAACCCTCCTATTTTGAAGCACCTATTCACTCTTTAAGCTACTAAGGCGTTTCTTAAGACAATGAGAGGGGGGCGGACAATTTATAGAGTTTGTTGAGGTGAAACGCTTCTCTTCCTCCAGTGTGGGAAATGTGTATGGCAAAGAAAAATGGAGAACAAAAACTCAAAATAACACGCGTGAGAGGAGTGTTTCGAACCTAGCTTGAAATAGGACCTAAATAGGATATACTCCTCCAATTGAGCACAAGTCGTTATTATGTAATTGTTGGACTTTATATTTTAATACTCCGTATCTTATGCTACTATAATTTGTACTACCTACGCTTATCAACTTTGTACTCCCTCCATCCTGAAATTAACTTCATTCTTTCCTTTTCGGTCTGTCCCAAATTTATCTTCTCTTTCCGTTTTTGATAAAGAATATGTGGTTCACAATCATTCTTACACATTTCTCTCTCCTCTGCACAACTCTCTACCACACAAATCCCACTATCTTAATCCTCGTGCACAGTCAAAACCGAAGTTAATTATGGGACGGAGGGAGTACTATGTACTTCGTATTACTAGAATTACTATTAAAATTAATTAATATTATTATTGTTGTGACGATTGTAATTATGACGGAGTATATTATAATTCATTTCATTCATTTTCATTTACCCTAGTGCCGCAAAGGCTCCCACCTACGGTGGGGTAAGGGGTGGTCGGATGTACGCAATCTTACCCCTGTACTAAAGCACAGAGAGACTGTTTCCGGATGACCCATAGTGAAAATCGCGTCCAAAATTGCATGAACTGACTGCTGTTTCATAACAAAGAAGCGCAGACAGTTTAGTGAGTCATTTTACTTTATTCCATCATAATCTCAAGCCAAAAAATAATGAATCTTTGGCTCCATTGCAAATGATGGAGTATATTATAATTAAGTCACATTTTTATTTACAATTCTTATTTTGGTCACATAAAAAATATTAATTCCTTTTATTAATTGTAATATTTTATCATTCAAATACCTTTTCCGATTCTAGTTTTTGACTTTATATATAGGGTAAAGTTGCGATGAGACATCTCCTTACGTGAGAAATAAGAACGCTCCAAAATGTTTTATTTTATCGATCATGAAAATGCACATTTATATGGGACGAAGGGAGTATTAAATTTAAATATTTCAAAATAATTGTAGGAAAATCAAAATAAAGGATAAAAAATCGAAACGCCTTTTCACGCCTAAGCCCCGCCTAAACCCGCCTAGACTTCAAAGACTTTAGGCTTGGTCGTGCCGCCTCGGCACGCCTTACGCCTTTTAGAACATTGCTTCCAAGTGATTAAATATATTGATTAAACTTAACGCTAGACTAGGCCAAACCAGACTATATTGTACTCCGTATGTATGATATAATACTAATGATATATACGAATTTATAATTGTTATTGGTGCTAGAATAATTAGTATGATTATCCTTGTATTTTTTAAAATAATCTTTGGTGTGCGGTAGTGTGTATCGATTCATGTCAGCTGACCCCAAATCTTTTAGGACAAGACTTGAATATTGTTGTTGTTTCTGTGGTGGTAGTGTATATATAAATAGTTTTAGGGACCTGTTGAATTGTACCGGTGACCGGTCTTACATCTCTCAAAGTTCAGGATGAGTTCTTGAACTCGAAATCACCTGGTGTTAACAAAAAATGTACGCCTTTTTAATCTTTCTAAATTTCGACGGCTGAATAATGAACAACATATCCTATAACTGCTCTCTATTATCTATTCCATGACCATCACTTTTATTTGTTCAACTTTCTTTTATTAAAAATTATTATGTTATGTTCTATTTTTTTTAATGACTTATAAATTCTTATTATTTGGTCTTCTCTCCTATTCTTTTTCTCTGGAGCTATTATATATTAACTGCCTATACAATTCTAGTACTCATCCGTATATTATTATTTGATCAAGTTATCCACTTTAGCCTACACTGCGCATTGGCCATGTACCAAATTATCATTTTGTTATTTTAGGAGTTGCCAGCTTCCTTGTTATTTCCTTGTTAGAAATGCCAAACTTTGAGAATTAGCACTTGAATTGTAGATATTCTGTTTACTGATTGAGTGCTTCCCATGTGTTAGCCTGGTTTTTCAATTTTTGACTTAAAAAACTGAAATTATTGTTTTCAAGTTACAA